ATTGGTATGTATGTATGAAAGGACATTATGTAAATTATAATGCATAATTTTTTTGGTGCATAACTTCTTCTATTTTAATGCAGATTAAATATTAGATTCTTATAATAAGAAACACATTTGGGTTGAGTCATGTGGATCTCTAGGAAAGTATCTCTTGAAAAATTTCAAATTTGTGGAGCATAAGAAGAATAAGCAATTGAATGGGTATGAGATGTTATCACAATAGAAAGCTTAATTTATGCAGTATTCATCATAATTGACATGTGTGGTTTTCAAATTTTGTAACAGATATGATTGCGGCATGTATGTGATGATGTGGATGGAATCGATCGGTTCTACAGGGCAACTGGTGATTTTGTAAGTGGATAGAAAAATTGTTTGTGGTAAAATTGTTAAAAGTCGTAGATTGAATGCTGTAGTTGACAATACTTAACGTTTGACAATTTGAATATAGGTTGTTGGAGACTGGGATCGATCGCGAGTATTAAACGATCTCGTAAGCCACAATCAAATGAACGAAGACAGGAGATAACAAAAGCTGCAATATTACATAAGAATAACAAAAGGATGCATGATGTAAATGTCGAGTTAATTTTGTATAAGATTTATAATTTTGTATACGATTTATTTTTGTATGTGAATATAATTATGAATGAGATGAGAAAAGTTAGCAGTATGTTGTTGTACATGTTTCTTATACACATTAAGGGTCATGTCGATACTTGGAAGTAAAAGGCAAATTTACAATATGGCCAACAGGGTGCACCCATAAAGTGTCGATCCATATATAAAAAAAGTGTCAATCCCAAAAACATCGAAAACCAAAGTATAATGTAATATGTAATTTTTCAATCTAACCGGTACAATTATACCGGTTTTATGAGAGAATATGTCTAAATAATGTGTCGACACTAATATAGTTTGTGTCGATATTTTTTTTTCCAGAATGAATGGAAAACAGGGTGCACCCATAAAGTGTCGATCCATATATAAAAAGTGTCGATCCAAAAATCATCGAACCCAAAAGTATAATGTAATATGTAATTTTTCAATCTAACCGGTACAATTATACCGGTTTTATGAGAGAATATGTCTAAATAATGTGTCGACACTAATATAGTTTGTGTCGATATTTTTTTTCCAGAATGAATGGAAAACAGGGTGCACCCATAAAGTGTCGATCCATATATAAAAAGTGTCGATCCCAAATCATCGAACCCAAAAGTATAATGTAATATGTAATTTTTCAATCTAACCGGTACAATTATACCGGTTTTATGAGAGAATATGTCTAAATAATGTGTCGACACTAATATAGTTTGTGTCGATATTTTTTTCCAGAATGAATTAAAAACAAGGTGCACCCATAAAGTGTCGATCCATATATAAAAAGTGTCGATCCCAAAATCATCGAACCCAAAAGTATAATGTAATATGTAATTTTTCAATCTAACCGGTACAATTATACCGGTTTTATGAGAGAATATGTCTAAATAATGTGTCGACACTAATATAGTTTGTGTCGATATTTTTTCCCCAGAATGAATGGAAAACAAGGTGCACCCATAAAGTGTCGATCCATATATAAAAAGTGTCGATCCCAAAATCATCGAACCCAAAAGTATAATGTAATATGTAATTTTTCAATCTAACCGGTACAATTATACCGGTTTTATGAGAGAATATGTCTAAATAATGTGTCGACACTAATATAGTTTGTGTCGATATTTTTTTCCCAGAATGAATGGAAAACAAGGTGCACCCATAAAGTGTCGATCCATATATAAAAAGTGTCGATCCCAAAATCATCGAACCCAAAAGTATAATGTAATATGTAATTTTTCAATCTAACCGGTACAATTATACCGGTTTTTATGAGAGAATATGTCTAAATAATGTGTCGACACTAATATAGTTTGTGTCGATACTAATTTAAATATAAAGTGTTTTCCACCGTTTACGATATATAGTACTCTTAATCGAGAAACCCTAAACATAAATGCAAGCAGGCAGATCTTCCTCTTTCTTCTACCGTTATCATAAGTGACGATCAGATATTCAGGTAAATTTATCGATATTTTATGGGTTTGATTGATTTCTATATTGGAGTTTTTATCCTGAATGTGTTTGTGTTCCATTGTAATAGGGGTAGCATCCAACCAAAATGGCTCCAAAACGTCAGCGTCAGAAGCGAGGTCTTTCTCAAAGCTCTTCTCAACCCAGTTCTTCTCAACCACCTCCTTCTGTAACAAACGATTCTTCTGAGGAAATCAGGTCCTTCGAAACTTTGAACTTTAGATCCGACATGGAGAAACAAAGATGGCAGACGAGTTTTAAAGTAAGGAAGATTCGTCCCGAACGTGTCATTGACCTGGGTTTCTTGTTTGATGATAAATATGCATTTAGTTTTAAATCCACATTTACATCTTGGGGTTGGCTTGAATTCCTTGGTGTAGAACCAAGATATTATCCCAACCTAGTTAGAGTCTTCTACAACAATGCTTCCTTACAGCACGAGCCTAATAAGACTAATATAATAGGAATTAATACACATGTCATGGGGAAGGATATATATATCTCCAGAAACTATTGCGGAGGTTTAGGTGTAGCGAATACAGGGGATTCAGATGAAAATGGTGTAGATTGGTCTACAATTAAACGGTTACTAGAAATAGCCCAATTCACCTCGATGTAGAGTCGAGAGTGTTTCACAAAATGCTCACATGGTATATCCGGCCTAGTGGGGGAAAACATTCAACGCTTCGAGACATCGATTATTGGTGGATAGCAAAGTATAAATCCAAAACGGCTCCAAACATTGCAAAACTCATATTTAATACAATTGTATATATGGTCACAAAGGGAGCAACAATTTCAACTACACTACCATATGGATGTGTCATCACCCATCTGTTGAAGAAGAAGGAAGTTGATTTTTTCGCATGACGCCCCTGTTCGATTAACCCGCAAGATTGACATGGTATTTATTAAAAAAGCGGGATATGATTTTGTTGAAAAACTCGGTTGGAAGCGTGTCAAGGAGGTCGGATTAGATCAAGAGAGGGAGGAAATGGACCCCATTGGCCATGAAGAAGAGCAACCAAGTGGAGACGCAATGATGGAAGAAGCTCCAGTTGCAGAGGATGTCACAATTAAGACCGTGATGGAATACATGGTCAATTTTCGGGAGCATATTGATTCCCTTGTGAGTGAATTATAGGCGTCTAATGATTTATTTCTTACGTTACGATATATATTATTATTAAATTAAAAATTCTAAATATTATTTTATAAAATATAAAAACAATCAAATAATTTTTTGTGCAAATGAAATTATTAAATTAATATTGTAGGTGGAAAACATGAAACACTGTTAAAAAAATTGAAACATAAATTACATAACTTTTAAAAAAAGTATCGATCCTTTTTATAAAAAGTATGAACACTTTCAATATAATAGGTAAACATATGATGTAATAGGTAGCCCTTATATAATGTAATAGGTATCGTTTATATAATGTAATAGGTAGTGGTTATATTGTAAAGTGTCTATCCTTTTTATAAAAGTGTCCATACTTTTTTCACTGTGGAAAACATTAATTTAAGGTTATCTTTTGAGTGAGTTTTAAGATATTAATTTAGTAATTATAGGCGTCTAATGATTTATTTTTTACGTTACGATATATATTATTATTAAATTAAAAATTCTAAATATTATTTTATAAAATATCAAAACAATCAAATAATTTTTTGTGCAAATGAAATTATTAAATTAATATTGTAGGTGGAAAACATGAAACACTGTTAAAGTATCGATCCTTTTTATAAAAAGTATGGACACTTTCAATATAATATAATGTAATAGGTAAATTTGCAATGCTATCGGTATAAATATACCGGTTTACTTATAAAATAGGTAAATATAAGCGCTACCTATTACATTATATAAGCGCTACCTAGTATGTTATTGTACTTTATAATATTTCCGGTTAAATAATATAACATAACCGGTCTAAATTTTAACCGGTCACTTGTTTAACCGGTCACGCCGTATATTAGCCGTTTTTTAGGCGCCGCACCGCAGAACTACCCTACAACTTTGCCCGTTACCAGACCCAAAAAATTAAACCAAACCGACAACAAAATCACGGTAGCAAAAATGCAAAAAAAAAAAAAACAGGGGAAAGGAGAAAATTAAAATTGGCAAATGAAACTTACCCTTTTGCTTACTTGTTCTTGAATGATCAGAGACCCCTTAGAAAATTTGAATAGTTAAAGGTTGAGAAATGAAAAAAAAGAAGAGTATAGATTAAAACTAAGTTGTAGATCAAATAAAGGATGATTTTGATTTAAAATATTATATCCAAAAGGCCTAAAGTCTAATTCAAGTGGTGTTTCAACCATAGAACAAAAGAGACCACAAAAAAAATGACAATTTCGCAAAGAGATGGGAAACAACGATGTTAGATCCAAGGAGTTTGGGTGTTTTCTAGTTAAACATTGGATTTGTATTCAAGAGGACAAAATGAATTTGATGAAAAATTTTAAGATTCATCTGTCACTGTTGACGTCAGTCAATAGTGGTCACACATAGTGATCATTCACAACGAACGATGGTATGTTACAAGAGATTAAAAAAATTGTATTTTACAAAGATACAAAACAAAATCATTTTAGAGTGAATTTGATTTTTCTAAAATAATGTCATTATGATGCGGTATGTTATGTCACAACATTATTAGGTCAGTATGAGTTTTAGTTAATATATATACTAGACACCCATTTTCATTTCAACGCCATCATGAGAGTTTATAAATGACATACTTGAGTTCCAATTTTTGTTCTTTTCTGGGATTTTAATTCATGAAACTAATACCAGAAGTGATTAGATGGTGGGTCATTTTTAGTTTATCTAATACTGATTAATTTCGATAATGAACATAAAAGGTTAAATGCTAAAGGAAAACAGTGTAAATCAAGGCCCTAAAAAGATATACCAAATGGAGATTCTATCCTTGTTGGAGCAATCTACCACACCAACTTCTTGGACAGACATTAAAGTCTATCAGTTTCACCAAATTGATGCTCTAATTTTCTAACTTCTCTATATAAAATGCTTAGGAAATGCCTTCTGCATGTATAGTGTGAGAAGGGGATCATGCCAGAGTTCTGAAACAAATATGATTTTTCCTATGAAAACCTTCCTTCATATACTTTGCTTCCTACTCTTTCATCCCCAACCTTCCTCACTAGCAATAGATGAATATAAATTTGTAGTAAGCGGTTAAATGGGGCGATGGTCCTCCTGAAAATTTTAAATTTTCATATGTTTTGGATTTTTTTATATATATTCTTTATTGAAAATTTTATAAGTTTACCGCTTAACATAAAATCATGCATTCATCTATGTTTGTGTGTACTCTAAACTTGTTAAATGTCGCTTCTTAAGAGAGATTGCATGAATTAACTATACATGCATGTGCGCAGGTGAAAGAAGCTTCGTGCACACGACTGTGCAGTACAAAGAAGATTTTAACTGTAAATGGACAATTTCCAGGGCCAACTATAGAAGTTCAGTATGGAGAAACAGTTTATGTAAACGTTTATAACCAAGGGAAACAAAACATCACCATTCACTGGTATATTAACTGTAAATATGCACACACATACACACATACACGCATACATTCATACATATATTGTTGGTAGAGAATGTTGTAGCGAATCATTGTGTTCATGTAATGCCGTTATCAGGCACGGACTTCAACAGCGAAGGTATCCGTGGTCAGACGGACCGGAATATATCACACAATGCCCTATCAGACCAGGACGAAGATTCAGGCAAAAGCTCTTATTTACAACGGAGGAAGGGACCCTATGGTGGCATGCTCACAGTGACTGGTCAAGGGCCACTGTTTATGGAGCCATTATCATCCACCCAAAGGTTGGAAGTAGGTACCATTTTCCCAAACCAGATGCAGATGTGCCCATAATATTAGGTATTCAACTCTGTTTGGATCTAAATCAGATTCTTCACTGAAGCCAAATAGCTAATTGTGCATGTTGATCATAGGTGAATGGTGGAAAGAGGATATAACAAAGGTTGTTCAAAGATTGCACGACACTGGAGGGGACCCCAATATATCTGATGCATTTACCATTAATGGTCAGCCTGGTGATCTTTACCCTTGCTCCAAACAAGGTACTATTTCTCAAGATTAATCGAATTAGAAGTCGAAAATTATGATTTGAACATGAGTTATGGCTGCAGGTACGTTCAAGTTAACTGTGGAGCGTGGCAAAACTTATCTACTTCGCTTGATAAATGCAGCAATGAACGTCATTTTGTTCTTTGCCATAAAGAAACATAATCTCACGGTTGTGGGCGTGGATGCTACCTACACGAAGCCACTTAGCAGTGAATATGTTACCATTGGTCCGGGACAGACTGTCGATGCGTTGTTATCGGCCAACCAAAAGCCTGACCGATATTACATGGCTGCTAGAGCTTATTCTACTGGTACCAATCCTGTTTTTGATAACACCACCACCACTGCAATTGTTCAATACAGAGGAAAATATACTTCTTCTTCGTTTCCTTCTTTGCCTTCTCTTCCGTTCTACAACGACACAAATGCGGCCTTTTCATTTTTCGGTAGTCTCAAGAGCTTAGCTGATAAATACCATCCGGTTAAAGTTCCCTTAGACATCGGCAACCGGATTATGACCACGGTATCAGTTAATACTTTCCCTTGCCAACACAATAACAAATGTGCTGGTCCTAATGGGACTAGATTTGGTGCTAGTATGAACAACATAAGCTTTGTTAGTCCATCCACTGCTCTACTTCAAGCTTACTATCAGCATACCAATGGGATCTATGGAGATGATTTCCCGGACATGCCACCGTTTCTGTTCAATTTCACCGATAAATTTCTTCCGGTGGGCTTCGAAACTCCGAAACGAGGAACTGAGGTGATAGTGTTAGACTATAACACCACGGTGGAGATTGTTTTGCAAGGGACGGAATTGTTGGGTGGGATTGATCATCCCATTCATCTCCATGGCTACAACTTTTACATTGTCGGATTTGGCTTCGGGAATTTCGACATATACAAGGATCCTTTGAAGTATAACCTCAAAGATCCTCCGCTTCGGAACACAGCGGTTGTCCCCTTCGATGGCTGGATCACGGTGAGATTCAAGGCAGACAACCCTGGTAAATTGCTTGGCCATTCTCCATTATCATAATTATAATAACACTATAATGGATTTGATTACTAATTTGTTTATATTTGTAGGAGTTTGGTTTCTCCATTGCCATATAGAAAGGCATATGACATGGGGGATGAAGACTGTTTTCATAGTAAAAGACGGGGAGCAGCCCGATGAGAGGTTACTGCCGCCGCCACCGGACATGCCATCCTGCTAACAAATCTCTGCAGAAATTTCTTTTCTTCATTGCTGTTATTATTATTATTATTTTTATTTGTGACGCTTTTTCAATAGGCAATGGCTTCAATTCAAGAATGTTGTTTGAACTATGGTTTTTAACGCCTATAAATAAATATTTCAGGTTAATTGAATTTGTTCTCAATAATTTATTAATATTAAATGAGGTGATTAGATAAAAGATGATCCTGCCACGTTCGACTACTACGTATAAACATAGTTAATGATGAGCATCATTATATTAATTTATAAAAATTAAAATATAAAGTATTAAACGTATAATTATAAATTAGTTAAAAATTAAAATATAATTTAATTAAAATACAATATTTATTAAACATTAGATTTTATAATCTTATTTTAATTATAATTAGATAAAGTATTGATTTGAGAAATTTATAAATATTAATTTATTTTCATAACTTTAAAGTTATCGCCGTTGTCGTCGTCACGATCACCGCCACAGCATCATCTTTTACTGCCAACGAACGATAAATACTAAATCGACGGCGAAAGATAATACATGTGGCGGTGGCAACGACAAAGCTATGAAAATAAATTAGGGTTTATAAATATTGAAAATTATTATTTGATCTAATTATAATTAAAATAAGATTGTAAAGACTAATGTTATATAAATATTATATTTTAATTAAATTATATTTTGATTTTTAACTAATTTATAATTATACATTTAGTACTTTATAGTTTTATAAATTAGTTTAATGATATTTATCGTTAACGAGTCGCTAGATGAGCTTCGTAGAATTTTTCTTAGATAAAATCATAGGGTAAAAGTAAGAAATAAAATTAATTACCAAGGCAAGTCGGGTCAAACATACCGTCCGACTACAGAAACAGTCTAACAATTTATTGTTAACAATAAATTAACACAGTGAATGCAGTTCACATTTTATTGTTAGGCCAACACTCAACTCTCAACTCTCAATGACTACAGGTCCATCCAAGGAAGATGATCAAATTAAGACATTACTTAACAATTTCAACAGTCTCAAACCCTTTCTCAATGGATGCCTTGACAGCATCCAACACTAACTGTGTCTTCCTGATAATTGCAGGCCACTTTTTATCTGGCTTTGCGCCATTCTTTTTAATATCTTGAACCAACTTGGCAAACTCTCTCACCATGCACACCTCCTGAGGTAGATCCGCGGTGACCGTATGTTGGCTCGGACGCGGCGTCCATCCCATCACGAGGTCGTTGAATCCGGGTTTTGCCGATGCCATAAAAGAGGCTTCGTGCTCTTGGTAAGGAATGACGAAATCGGTGAGATGCAACGTTCCGTGTGTTCCGATAGCAGTGATGTTCATTGTCAAACTTTGTAAGAAAGAGCAGTGGAAGATTGCGGTTTTGCCATCTTCCCACTGTAGTGAAGCACCACACTCTAGTATCACCCCTGCTTCATTAAGAACAGCCCCACGCAAGGCTGTTGCAGTTTTCGGCAGCTCGTAGTCGGCTGCCCACAGGATCGACCGGACACAGTACCACCCCTCGTCACCGAGAGCACCAAGAGCATCTAGATTGGGCTTCACACGGATGTCGTTCTTGAGAAAATCAGGGTCGGTAAAGAATGAGAAGCAGCTATTTACCTGGGAAAATCAACATTGTCATTCTGTTTACCTCAGCATACCATTGACATGGAATGATCATCATTTAAAATATTTTATGATGAAGCATAGGCCACAACAAAAGAGAATTAGATTATATTACGAGTATAGAATTAAATTACGGCGGCAATGCAAAAACCTCAACTCATCTCTCCCTATTATACATAAGCCATTTTAACAAATTATTGGCAAAGTTACAATCTTTTTTGGTAATTAGGAAAGAAAATTCATTGAGAATGGAAGAGGTGCAACCTAGGGGAAAAGTTTACCGTTTTAAGCTGACCAAACCGTTCCTTATCTTCCAAGAACTCCTTCATTTTTTGTGTCCTGGGGTGATGCATCCACATGGTTCCATCCATAATCTGAACCCCATTTTCCTCACAAGCCTTTATAATCTCATCAAACTCGGCCACATGCAAGGCCACGGGCTTCTCCGTTAGCAAATGCTTCTTTTTCTGAGCCGTCAACACAGCCCATTTGAGGTGTAGGCTAGTGGGCAAGGGCATGTAGACGGCGTCGATGTCGGGGTCGTCCAAAAGGGACTCGTAGGAGCCGTAGATTTTGGCTTCAGGTGGGAAGCCATTGGCTTTGGCGAAATTGGCGGCTTTTTCGATGGAGCGGCTGGCTACGGCAGAGAGAGTGGCGTTGGGTGCAAGTGCTATGGCTCGGGAGACTTTGCGGGCTATGTCAGCACAGCCGATGATTCCAAATCTGATCGGAGAATCAGTCATTTTCGGGTGGGAGGAGGAGAGAAACAAGGTGAGATAATGGCTGTGATAACTGATGAAAGGACGGTGTTGTTTGATGAAGTCGACAGAATCACGTACGTGGATCAAGATGACTTCATCCTTTATTCACTTTTTTATGAGGCCTTCTTCTCAATTATTCTCACGCTTCCAGAATCATTGATATTCACTCAATTATTACCATGTTTTCATTTTCATCCTCCAAGAAAAATCCTTTTTTTAATTCTGAAGCTATCATTTGAGTTTTTGATATTTTAGCCGCTAGCTGTTCAACTCTAAATAGATGTTGATCTGATTTTTTACCATTAAATTTCACTTAGAAAACAGTCTTTAATCACTCGTTAGCCTTGCCCAGACAACTGCCCCGAACCTACCCGTAGGGTGGTTATTTCATTTGGACCCTACGGATTTTGATTCAATTTTGCTCGACTAAAATTTCCATTGTAAAAGAGTGTAGATTGGGTCAGGTTAGTATTTCTTTTAAAAGAGTGCAGTCGGATCGCATTCAAATTTATGATAAACAAAATTCAATCCAATCTATTCAATATAATATTAAAATTATTTCTTATATCTTTAAAAATAATTATAAAAATCTTCCTTTCAATTTCTATTTTCCAATCAAATCAGGTCAAATACGAGTATAAATTTTTATCTAAAAAATTGAATCTAATTTTGAATCATATGGGACTTTCTAATATCCAAATCGAATTAATTGTGAATAAAACAATTTGATTTCTGAATCAGATTTGAATAAACCAAAAACTTAACACATGTTCATCCCTGCCTACACACTAGCATTATGCAGTATAAATTTATAAAACAATTTCAATATTATTAGATATTATAAAAATAGTTTCAATTGAATCTAATAATTTTGAATGCAACGTAGAAAAATAAATAACTAAAACATAAATAATAACATTAAACGAATATGCAAAATATACGTATGTTGTCAAATGATTAAAAAATACTTCAAAAGAATATTATCTTGTAATAATAATTCTTAACTACTCAAAAATAAATTCTTTAAATGTATTATGCCAAACATACGAGAAAAATAAAATATAAATATCTAACTTAAAATGCATTTTTAAAATGTTTTTACTATATAGTAAACGAACTTTCAAACACTAATAGATCAAATCGGACATATTCTTTGGATTGTTTGAAATAACAATTGAAGATATAACGTAAAACAATTTATTCTACAATCACAGAAATCTATTTCACAACCACGGCGCATAATAATATTGCGAGCATTGCTTGATAGGGGACACAATCAGCACATGAATCCAACATAATCCGAGAATATATACGAGATCTGCATTGGCTAATCCAGCAAGTGATCCAAGTTTACCCTTCTAGGGTACAAAAAGATAAATAGTACGCCATCAACACTGACAAGTACTCAAATGTCAGACAACGAGAAGATTAGACAAAATTTTGATTTTGATTTTTCTCTCTTTCATGTACTCTCGAAACAAGCTCATAAATATGACATTGATGAGATTTGCTACAGAATCTAGAATCAATTATAATTTTACAAGCATTGTGGATTTGAATGAGAACCCACAGCTGTGTTTGTTCCGTCTTCTTCCAGAACGCTAGAAAAATCTGATGGAAGATCGACACTTTTGACAATAGTTGTATTCGAAGCGTGCTACGATGGCTGCTGCATCTGATCTTGCCGAAGTGCCTGTTGGAGTTGAATGACCTGTTGGCGCTGTTCAGGTGGCAATGAATTCAGCTGTTCAGGAGTTAGGTTTAACACTTGCTGCAGTAAGACGGATTCGACATCTGGTGCGAGCTGTGGCTGTTAGAGAAACAAAACAATGGTATCATAAGTTTCATAATTAGCATCAAATCAGCCACATTGAACTATGAATGCAAAGCATTTCACATTGGCCAATATAAGAATTGGTTAAAAAAAATGACCAGCACCATAATTATAATAACTTGGTTATAGAAATTTCCTCAGCCTACTTCTATATTTCTACAAATGTAGAGAGACTTACATTTATAGGAAATGACAAATCAAGTTTACATCTGATAATTGGACAAAACACCAAATTTGATTGTATTAAACGCTAGCAAGTACTTCAAAAACTCAACATTCAATAGCAGGTTGAACTTCAATATGCCTTACTTTCATATTCATTAAACACACCAAAAACAGCACATATTCAAGTCCTCAAAACAATGAGTTCAAAGAAAATAGTTTAACATAGGACAACATCCAAATTACACCCCAGCCATTTCTAAGCATATCAATAGCATGGCGAAAGTCACTCCTCAATCAAGATATCTGAGATGTGTAAGTTTTCATTCACCATTTCATATTTATTATTCTGCGTACTGCCAAAATGATTACATAGATATCAGAAGACAATACAAACATCTGGCCCTGACAACAAACTAACAAATCCAGAAAAGATATCAGTTAAAGGAACTATATATCTTTTGCACAAAACCCATCTAATCCCTACCATTCAAACTCCAAGAAAAAAAATTCTGCCATTTAAGACTGTAGAAATGATGCATGAGTAAATGGACTCAAAGTAAAGTAGATAAGGTTTTTAACTTTTATGTCACCAAGTATAATACATTACCTGAGAAACCTGCTTTTCAGCATATTGCACCTCTTCTGTTCTAGGTACTTGTTTATCAAGTGCTGAATCAACACCAAATGTCTGTGATGTTATGGATCCACTTACATTGGATACATTCAACCCTAATGAGGGAGAACTGCTTTCCCCCCAATCTAATTTCGCCTTCTTCAGAGGCCGATTTACCGCTTCTGAAGGATTTCTAACAATATTTGATTTTTCCGCAATGCCAGGAGTTCTAGAGGGAGTGGGCTGTTATAAAAATGAAAACAGAAGTTAATAAGAAATGCTGGGATATTAGAAGAAATAAAAACCAGTGTTCTACCAACTCGAAAAAGATACAGCCAATGATACAGCTCAAGAAGATCACAAGAGAGAGGACTGGTGTTTGTCTGTGGAAAGGGAGGAGGAAAGAAGGGGCAAGGATCCGTCTAAATGTACAATAAATGAAAAAGAGAAACTATGTGTTCAATGGAAAATGTATGTAAGTGAGAGATTTTCTTAAAACCCAACTTTATCTTAATATTTCTTGGTTGGATTTGACTAACTGAATTTAAAAAAAATAGAACTAACAAAGTTTTCTTTTTTAAATATTCAAAACACAACCTAAAATAGATCTGGGACTGCTAAATTCTCAAATCTAATGATTCTCTCAACAAAACTATATAAGAACAAATCAAAACATAATCTTAAGGTGCATGCTTTTAATTAACATAAACTAAACTAAAATTTCTCTAGTGGTATGTTCTAGCTCAAGTTTGTGAAAGCTTTTGTACCGGAAGCTGGTGTGATAAGAGGATGAGGCAGGGGCTGAATTCATGACAGCTTTTGGCAAAACCACCCGACCGCCATGATTTAAATTAGCAGTTGCAAGCTGTCTTGAGTGTGGCAATGAAGGGTGCAATTGCTGGCTCAAAGATGAAGAATTTGCCATCGGAATTTGTGGTCTAACAGAGGTGTTTATAGAAGGAAGTTTGGGAACTACAGAATGTGCAGCAGCTGGTGGTAGAACATGATTGCTGGAATGTTGTGGAAGCTGTGCCCGAGGCTGCAAAGTGGACTGTAGGGTTGCAGAAAATTGGTTGCAAGCTAAAGAATTATGAGGCGCAGAAGATATTTGACTTTGTACTTTTGGAATCAAGCCAGTCTGAACCATCTGAAGAGAGTCTGTGATGTTGGCTGCCGACTATGCTGGTCGTCCTGTAATGGAGTTTGTGCATGTTGACCAAGAGGCTGTCGTATGTTTGGCATCTTCAACTGCAAAATTCAAAAGAAAATTTTATTTTATGCGACACGGTTTCAAAGCACCGAATAAACGATTAACAATTTTTTTGAGACAATGAAACAAACCACTTGGGGGTTGACCATTCCAAGCATTACTTGTGCCTGAAAAACAAAGGCAAAAAAGTAAGACTGAATCAGACATTATCAAATAATGTCTTCAAACGTTTGAATATTCTTTAAGGACAAAGAACATAAAAAATACAACAATCCGAAAAGCAAGAGGCAATTAGGATTTTTCGGCTATCCTTAGCAGAAGAAAGTTGATTTTCAATGGAATGATCAGGTTCTTTATAACTTTTTTATTGTTATCAGGGCAGAAGGATAAATAGTCAAGTTTTGACCACCGATCTGCTAGCCCATTCAAATTTGCTTTAAGTCACTGCATCTCTATTTTGAAGCAGAAATAATGGGTGTTCTAAACACAATATTGCTGTTGTAAAGATTATTTTATTCAGTCTTATAAAAACAATGTTTCTGACCATATAAAACTGCCATTTTTTCTCCGAAAGAGAGCATTGTTCAAATTCCTTCCCAGACACGAAATTAATGATAATTTGAGACATATAGCTAAGATGAAAACAAAAATGAAAAAAGTAACCCATCAAGTTATAAACATAAAAGGTTTGAATTTAAACGATAAACTCATTTGTTTTTTGGAATTTGGAGTGTTTCAAGGACATTTTTAATCAAGGGAATCTGGATGAAATTCATGAGATAGATATTAACTATCTGAGATAAATATCTCTTCATATTTTCTTATAAAGAAAGACCAAACAATGAAAAATACCTGAAACGTGAAAGAATACCATTAATTAAAGAAAAAGGAGAAAAGCTCTGTAAAACAGTTTGTATTACTCAGTATACCTTCAGCTCAGACATAATTTCATTCAACTGGCTCCTAGACATTTTGGCAAGATGGAGCGTTAGCGGGTCAGTAGCTGGTGCAGGCTGACCCGGTAAAGCATTTTGATTATGTTGCAGACCAGCCTGCACACCACCAAGAGCTTCAGCCACGAGAGCAGCAGCAGATATAGCTGAATGGAGACCAATAGGCTGCAGCTGAAAAGATTCACCCTGGACTGCTAGGCCTCCTACTTGTTTGGGGGTTCTATTATGTGTCGGTTAAAGGGGAAAAAATCAGGCTGTATTCCTCCAAAAGAAAATAATCTAAAAGAA